GGAAAACATGAAATTTTGGCATAATCTTGAACCTAAGTGTCTGATATTCAAATTTCGCTTTCTGGGTCAAAACTACTCGAATTTCCTCACTCACGTTACGACTGAATCGACGTTTCAATTCTCTATCCAACGATGCTAAAACGAATTCTGTGGTTCGAATGGTTCTTGAGAAACTTCGAAAAAAGCAGCGTCCTGTTCAAGTGGATTTTGGAACTCAAAAAATAACCATGCAAATCTAAAACTTCTTGAATTCAAGCATTTTTTGAGAAAACTGCCAACATTTCCCCATCCATAGTTCACTTTCTAAAAAGGCCATTTATTTGTGTGTAAACGGGACGGAAAACATGAAATTTTGCAATAATCTTGCGCCACCCTTGCACAAAACGACGATAATTTTTCTAATTTCATAGCCAACAGAACTGTATTTTTCTACATAACCCCCCCCCCCCCCGCCCTGAATTTAAAGCTGGATCCGCCCCTGCTCTGAAGATGAGCGCTTCTAATGCGGGCGAAACATCAGGGAGCGCGCTAGTTTTCTCTAACCAATATGTTACATTTCTTGAGGACCACCCAGTATAATTTTAAAAAAATTCGGTCAAAAAGTCGTAACAATTACCGGATTTTCTAATCAACCTTCACTAGGCCTAAAAGGCTAAGTGAGAAAGCACTATAGTACCTATATGGCTAATTGGGTTAGTAGTAGATGTGTGATAAACCTATTAGGAATAGCGGTAGCGCCACATTTGGCACCGAAGCTAAATTAGCCGCAAAAGCATCTTGTGACTAAGAAATCACAATTTCAGGTTTGTTCAAGTGCCAGTGTCGATGTTCCAGCCGCAATTCTACCAGCAACAGTCGATGCAAGACCCGAAGCAGTTCGGAATCGGGCAATGGATCCAGCAAACGCCGTGGTTGCCCATCCAGGTGAACATTCCCGACTTGTTCCAGAATATCGGCAATGGCATTTCGCAGGCCACCAATGGGGTGACGCAATTCACGCAAAACGTCGGTACTGGTCTGAACCAGTTTACGCAAAACGTTGGCAGCGGTTTCAACCAATGGATGCAACAGCTGGGTCAACGGATACCGATTCTGGGCAATATAGCGGCCAATCGCCTACCAATGAATAGGCCCAATGGGCAACGGCCTGTTTTCGTGATGATTCCTGTGGAGTATCCGGGCGGGCAACAGCTAATTATGGAGGAAGCCTTGGAAGCTTTCCCTTAGTGCTCTAAACCTGTTAGTTTAATATTTATATTTTATGTGAATTTACCTCAGTAAAACTGGGGAATTTGGGGAATTGCCAAAAAAACAATGACAAAGTTTAGTTAAATTAGTTTTTTTGCTGTACAACTCCGTAATTGTTCCGGTTTGAACCAGTTGCAAGACTGCAAACGACCCAAACAGAAAAACTGAAAAAAATCTTAATAAATACGCTATGACGCATTACTGCCCAGTCACCAAATATTGACTGTTGGTGGATCCTCTGGCGCCTCCTTGTTGCAGCTGCCGTTCAAACCTTGCTTGCAAAGCTTGTTTTGCTCGTAGACGCTATTAAAATTGCCACTCTTCTCAGCTGGCAGCGCTCGGCCCTGATCCTGAGTGATTATTCCCACAGGATAGTCAAAAGCATAGAAGAAGCCTTTTGGGGGGCCGGTCGATTCTTCACCTTCTTGCGGAGTGTATTTGCCTTCATCACCAGGAACGTAAGCACCTTCGTTGTCTTGTTCGGCGGCTTGAGGTGCCGGTTGTCTTGCATAGGCATTTTGCCCGGAAGAAGCAGCTAAAAATAATAATTTTTTAGTCAACTTGGATTCACTGAACCGTCCAGGTTGTGCCGATTTTATCGGATCCGACAGTAAACGAGAAAACGAATCAGGTTTAGAGTGTTTCCGAAGACAAAAGAAGTTGCTTAATGCGAATTACCTGCTAAGTATTGATGTTGAGGTTGGGCAACAGGTTGAGGTGCTGCAGCTGAAATTTCCACAATTAACTGATGCACATAAAGGTTGCAAACATGTTTATACCCGCTTCATATAAGCCTTGCGGTCTAACGACCTGCTGCTGCTGACTGGCAGCGGCTTGGTATTGGGGCTGTTGCGGATAGTAGCTGATTGGCTGAGAACCTGCAACTGAAACAAGTTTCAGGGTCAACCAAGCCAAGCAGAAAACAATCATTTTCTTAGATGACAAACAAACCTTTTTGCGCTGGACCTGCGGCTTTAGCGAAAATGTTCTGTTGAGCTGCAAGAATTCGAAAATTGTTTTTGGGTGAAAATGGTTTATTTGGGGCGCTTATCACTTACGTTGATATTGGGGCTGTTGGGCAAAGAACTGCGCTCTTTGCTGCTGGCCTTTGGCAGAAAGAGGCCCGCTGGCGTACTGCCCTTCGCTGTTGTAGGGACTTCTGCAAGGCGGGTTGCAAAATGAGCACTTGAATGTTTCGCAATAATCGAGCAAACCTACTGAACTGGGTGAGTATTGCGCTCAGCCTCCTCCTGCCACCTCTTGAAGAAGGCGTCCTTAGCGGCCTTAACCTCCGGCAAATCTTCGATTTGCTGCGGCAGGATTTCGGGAATGTTGTCAGTTTGATGAAAACCGTTTCCGTTATCCCAATATTGCACCTAACAAGCGCATTATTGTTACCACCTCAGATTAAACAGATGCATTTGTTTACGATTTTCTTTGGGAGCAACATTGCTTCACAGTATATGTCACAAAATATCCCCCCAGGGGGTATGTTCTGTGGTATATGTAAAAGTAGGTACTTACGAGGCTGCTTTGCCGGCTCGGTATTCAATTTGGTATATATGAGTGCCATCAACAAGAAAATAGCAGGAAAACGGTAGCCATGAATAAATTTAGTGTTACATTTGTTTAGTTTGTAATAAGCGACAAGCAAATGCCATTAAAATAACAGCGTCGAAATTTTATATTAAAAAATTCATAACAATTTTTGGGGGTAATTACCAGGAAACATAATGAAACATTCGCCATGACAACACCGCAAAGGGGGGAGTACGTGATTTTGACATGATAGTAAGAGGGGAATACGATTTGTTGGACAAGTAAATATGGCATTTTCTCGTGTTTTTAGTGATAATCGTGATATTAATAAACTGTTACGCTTAAAAGAAATGGTGCGAAGTGGTTTCATTTGCAGGAAAAGCGGCCTGAATTTTCCTAACCTGTACTGTTTTACACGATTGTAAACAGGGACCAGTGGCGTGAGTTGTTTTGAATTTATAAGCTTAGAGGTAGATTTAGATCCCTATTGAATAGCTTTCAAATGCTTAAATAATTTGCGTTACTATTATAGCGTTTATAATTTCAGTCATATAATGTAGAGAAAAATAAAAAATAAGTGAATCTTTCATGCTTAGAATAAATAGATTAATACTGATGTTTACTCCGCCTATGACTAGCAGCCAGGCCAGTTGATTTTCGGGGGTAATTGCACAAGTGCTTCAAAATTACCGATAATTTTGCATGAAAGCTTGTTGTCTAAAAACTGCATGAGTTTATTTTCATATTG